TTCAAATCTCGACATGCCCCGATCGCAGCAGCCCCGCGACGTCGGGCGAGCTGCACCTGACCGTTGTGGAGGGTCGGAACTTTCGACGGACGGGTTGGCTTGGCAGGTACTTGAAGCGGTTGAGTCCGGTGTGCATCGTCCACGTCGACAGGCAGCAGCAAACGACCAAAGTGCACGACCATGGCGGGTCGTCGCCGTTCTGGAATGCGCTGTTCACGTTCATCGTGGACGAGTACTCAACCAGCGTCGAGATTCAAATCATGACGACGGCCATGTGCACCTTGGCGCCGCTTGGGGTCGTGTCCATTCCAATCGACGTCAAGTCGTGGCGCGATCGAGAGTTGCACGACGTGTGGTTGCCAGTCACGCTCGGCAAAGGCACATCCACGACAACAGATTCCTCCACGTATGGCAACATGCATGTGCACGGATCGACAAGTCACTTGATACATTGTAGCCTCAGATACGGGGAGCTCCGCGTAAAAATCGAGTTCAAGCTCGCAAGCACGCTATTTAAGCACCCGTCTGTCATCATACTGACCGTGCGCCGCAATGACCTGGTACTATCCCGCCGTGCTGCATGGTTGGCATGTATTGTGAAGTTGTCTGTGATCTCAACAGGCTGCCACGGCTTACGCTGCCGCTAACGTGACCTTGGCGACAAAAGCGCCACCGCCTTCGCCCGCTCGAGCTTCACAGTCCACTACGGCTGGACATTTACCTCCATCGCTACTCCTGTCTCCAAAATCCGCACCGGCTACGAAGCCTCCCCCTGCGCCACAGGCGATTACCTGCCCAACGGTTGGTGGGCTGCCAACGATTCCAACACTCCTCCAGCCGTGGAGTCAACACTTCATCGACTTGTCTGAGATTCAGCTCATGGTGGGTGGTCGTCTGCTAGCTACAAGTGCATCGAGTCTACTCATTCGAACGTGGCGACTCAGGCGGCGCGTGCAGGACCGTCGACGGTACAACTGGCAACGTACAAGAACGAGCTCGTGTATGTACAGCACGACATGGAGGCCTAAGCCGTCGCGAATGCGCTCCAGATCGTGCCATCGCTCCCCACAGTACTACATCGCGATCGATCTCCCCCGACCCGCCGTTTCCAGCAACATGCATTAGGAACACAAATTACTGCTCTTGATGGGGATTACGCTCGTCAGTCCCACCACGTGCGCCGGTGTATTTGAATTCGCCCCCGCTCTGCCCGCACCAAGTCGGGGGTGGACGAAGGACAAAGCGCAGGTCGCCCTTGACGTGTGCCGTACGATGGTCCAGCTACACGAGGCGAAACTAGTGCACGGTACGGCAAGCCGATGGAAAGATGTTGTCATTTTCGACAAAAGGATATATGGTACGACGCCTTCGACTGAACAACGTGTACCGCCACCCCCACAGCAAGGCGATGCTCCTGTCGTATCCGCAAGTCTCGCCAGTCGCTGATACGCCGATGCCATGGTACACCTCCGCTGTTGTTGTTGGTGTTTGAATCGCCGTGCATGCGTGGCGCGCTCACCGCCGACATATTTCCACAGGGCGGCCCCAGAACTTGAAGCAGCGACGATCTCCACGCCCGAAATGGACGTGTTCGCGTTTGGAATGTTCTTGCTCGAGCTCGACCTTGGCCACGTGCCGTTTGCAAACGAGGTGACACTGCCTGCACTGGGAAGAAAACAAGCAAACGGCCAGGGCATCATAGCGCATTCGTTGGTGTAGGTCGCGATTACCGCAGCCGAGGGGGGGGTTCTGAAGAGTTGGAACGTCGAAGGCGCAGTCGCGACGGCTGTGACCGCAGAGTGCCTGCTAGACATCACCGCCCTTGTACGAAGCTCCAACAGGACCTACCTTGTCTAACAATTCTCGTGTCGTGAGTAGATTCAAAAGTGTTTGTCAGTAGCGCCGTCCCAGCGACCAACGAGCCTCATGGTGCACGATCTGCTTCGCGACATAAAAAATGTCATGGAGCACTGCCTGAGCCGCCGCAGCACCCACTTTCACTCGACTTCCACGCTGATATCTGACGTGCCTTGGTTTCTCTGGCGCGTGGTGGCCAGATTCTTGACCGACGTGAAGACCTCAATGGAATGCATCCACCATCATCTGTTCGGGCCTTGGCGTCGGTCGCGCTGGAAGTGACGCGATCTCGGGTGGCAGCAGCATACCGAGTTCATGTGGATGGCGGGCCAGCTGCATGCTCCAACACTGTCTCCAGAGTCCGTCGTACTTCGCATCAATGAGTGAGATGTCTTTTGAACGATGATGACTACGTTGGGTGCGTCGACCACGGTAATGGCAAGCTGAGGAATGCTGCTAGAACACACCCAAGTGATGGAGCGTACACGAGTGCCTGTGCAGAAGTTCGCAGGCCCAAACACACAGCCGTGCGACGCATTTCCCACGCTATTGGAGCATACATCGCTTTGGCAGGACTTTTCGGGGGGAGAGGCCTCACACCGTGTGTGTGTGTGCATTTTCAACTTTCAAAAATGTCCTCGCGGCTTCGTCCAGCAACTCGCTGACTCGGTTTTTCCACTGAGGGCCAAGCGCTACGTACCACTTCAAACGGCACTCGATCATTTTGAACGGAACGACGACGACGTTGTTTCATTACGTGTGGGCGATCTCACACCTCGACGATCTCGAAGGATGGGTTAGTGCTAGTTGAGCTATGGATGGTCGAGTGGGTGGAGCATCGAGCGTCCCAGTGGAACCCCAACTTATCGAGGTGCATCTTGCGCTCGGGCGCGAGCCCGCCTGCCTTGGTTCGCAAGTTGTGTACGACAAACCCAAGCTTCATGGACCACGTGTCTTCGGGCCACGGGGCGCTCGCCGGCACGACAAACATGCGAGGGACATTTGTGTGTCCATGAAGCGACGCGAACGTTGTGACGGCTTGGAGTTGCTTGGCCCAGATTACGTCATGGGCATTCCAGACAAATCCCATACCGTCCAGCAACGCAATCTTGTTCGGAGCCAGCGATTGCATGGCTTTTCGAACGTCGTTGACCATCACGCCAAGCGGCAGGCCCCACAAGTGGGTTGGCCACGGGTACTTGGACGGGATGTCGAACGCTCGCGGCACATTGGTGTGGCCAAATTGGTCTTTGTACAGCCGCAGGCACTGCAGTTGAACGTCCCATTTGTGCTGGGCAGCGTCCCAAACGAACCCGATCGCGTTCAAAGAGGCCACGATGTCAGGGTCGAGGCGCTGCCGTTTGTGTGCGTGGCGGAACGCGCCAAAGTTGAGGGTGAAGCCCCGTAGGTGCGGGGGGTACGGTTCCCTATGTGGAACCTTAAACTTGCACGGGACGATGTTGTATCGGTTCAGGGCGTCCTTGTCGTGCTGGACGATGTGGGCGACTCGGCTAAACAGCAGCTGCGTCTCCATCGACATGGTGTACCCGCCATCGCACTTGGTCTTGGTCGTGGCGAGGGGCGCGTTGAGGAGGTACCCGATCGACGCCTTTGACAGGCGCGGCCGTGGCATCTCTGCCGTCGATTCCAAAGTGTCGTGGTGGCTGACTGATATGTAGAGACTGAATCGAGCTGTCGTGTGTGTGGGTAGCACAATTGCTCATGATGGTTGGTTCGGGTGGGCACACATGGGCTATTTCCTCGCGAAAACACCACATTGTCCCACATGATCGCACAAAAGGACGCAGGCTGTGGGGCAATCGGGAACATTTCCCCTTTCACAATTGTACATACCGTATGGCTGCAGCGACAAGGGGGGCGGTTGCCGCCCAAACTTACGTGGGTGGCGCAGGCCCGTGGCGCCCCCCGAATGGTTGGCGTCCATCTCGCCGTACGCCCTACACCTGTATGGGAGTGGCGCAGGCAAAGAAGGTCAATTGAGCCATAGCACAGACCCACACCGCTACCCGTGGTTCAAATGAGAAAGCTCCGCAGTGACCGCATGGGGCGTTGCCATGTGGCCGGTGGCTCCCAGCCTCGATTGGTGCGGATGTACCTACTTCTCGAGCGTCGTTGACGGGCGAGCCCGCTCGATCGCGGCAAGGCGACACTTGACCAAGCTGTAGCGAGCTTTGGTTCAAAACGGGCCGAGCGACTGGATACGACACTCCTTCCGCGCTTGGCTCGGCCTGGCTCCGTCGACACAACCCTTGTCTCTGGATCGAACGACAACGCTCGAGATTTCCTGCTGTGAGTAATTCGACCGGGGCGGAGGCGCCGCCAACTGGTGTGGGTGCAGCGCCGGGCTACTCTGGGTAACAACAGAAGTCGTGGAGGTCGCCGTTCATTTCTGTGGCGACTGCACCAAAGACGAGGAATCACGCTGCCTACTACCTCCCGTGCGCAGCCGCATATCTGCCCACCTCATCACCCCGTGTGGTCCAAATTGTTGGCCATGTGTGGTTCGGTGCCCGTGCAATTGTTTTGGGTGGGATGGTCCAGCTGCTGGCACGTTAACATATCTGCGTGCGCTTTTGCTTGAACAAGGCGTACTCAGAGAGCTAGCCGAGGCTGGGAGACAGGTCGAATGGGAGGAGTTACGATGGAGCGCGGAGGTTGGGGTGCAAGGGCGGCTGAGTTGTTGTGGACTTGTTGAACTGTCGGCGACAGAGGGAGCGCGATCGCGACAAAAATGCTATCCATGTCACACATCCCCCCTGGACGTCGCCAAGACCAACACAGCCGGCATCGTGCCATGTCAAGTGCCGTGAGCGACAGTCTCCATCGCATATCTCGCATGGTGACACGCCAGCGCTTACGCTACGATGCTACCGCCTTTCGATGCTATAATCGTGTTGTCACGAATCGCCGTGGTTCACGATCGCGCGTGCAGTGTGGGTGCGATCGTTCGCCGGTCATAGTTTTGCCTTGGGTGCACAGAGACCCACCACCCCGCCGCTGTCCACATGGGGCCGAGATCGGGAACTAATTGGCAGCCGTGGATAAAGGGGTGCATGGAGCGCAGCCACGTACAGTGTGTTGTCGATGTAGCCCCCCAGCGAATGCATGCCCCCCCTTCGAACCCAACGCTGTGAAAGCCACGTCGTAGCTTTCACAGCGTTGAGTTCCGGCGGTAGGCCTCGACGTTCACTAGCTTGACTGATCTGTCCAAAACAATGGGGCGGCGCGTCTTCGGCAGCCAATGAACTCGTGCGTGAAGGGGAAGTGCGGCCGTCAGCCATCGACGTCTAGACTCGGTAACACCCATTCCTGTCGGAATCCACGGCAAAGGCGTCGTGGCCCCCATGGATTCAGCCTATATATTTAGTCCTAATGTAACGTCGACCCACCAGCTAGAAGACTCGCTTCAACCGCAGCGAAGACCGCCGAGACCCCCGTGCGGGCTCGTTGACGGGTTCTGGAACGATTCTCGCATGGTTTCTCACAATTGGAGAGCTCGGGCGTCGAGCAACTCAAGGGCAACTTACGCCAGGCGTTGCGTGACGACGGCGCAGTTGAATATTGACTTGGGGACGCATGAGACGCGCCGACGGGGCGACCGTGTGTGTGAAGGAGTTCGTTATCCATCAGAGTTGCCGTGTCGGTGTGTACGTCGTCAGGGCTCAATAGGTTTCAGGGCGGGGTTCCATACAAATCTGTATTTTATACAGCGTTTTGAATTAACAGGAGAAAAAAGTAGATCCTTCGAATAGAAATCACTTGATAATTTGTACTTCCTCGTTTCCACATTTCTTTTACTTTCGATTTTTTCAACGACCCCAAAAATTGATTTGATGACATATTTTCAAACAAATTATCATTTTATAAGACTACAGAAGGCATCCAGTGGATGCAAAGCGCCACAGCTCGAGTTTCGAGCTCAAAACTAACATCAAATTCCAACCACCGAAAAAAATACCCCACATAGTCCAACACTGTCATATTCAAACTTGCCGCCATGGAGAATCAAGTGAACCATACCCGCCGAGACCTCTCGAATAGCGTCAAACTAAGAGTAATCCAACACCTAAAAGCGTTCCTCAATGGAGAAAATCTCAAACGCGGGGAATTAAACGCACAGTGAGAAGCTCGCTCTCCAACCCCACACGGTCGCATCAATCTGGCGCAAGTTTTGCTCTGTGGATGATGTCTTGCGTCACACGTTGGAAGCATTCGACGAATTGAGTTACGAGAAGCTCGAAAACGTGTTTCTTACTTTTCAAGCGGTTATGCGCTTGGTACTTGAGCACGGTGGCGATAACAAATTTGCACTGCCGCATGTCAAGAAGGGTGTATTGAGACGCGCTGGACTTCTTATGTCCAATGTGACTTGCCCTGTGTCATTGCTTGTCTAGGGATTTTGAACCAATGAATATCAGCGGACCTGTTGAAGCACCAATGATTTTCAATTCGTAATAGTAATGTGGAAAATGTGTGTTTTTCTTAGCAATGATACTGAAGTCCCCCCGACTTGGACACAGCACAAAATACGAAGTTCTCGCAGTTAATCAATTTCTGGAGATATTACTTATCATACAGTAGTTACTCGCCAACCAATGATGATTCGACAAATCACTCCACTTGCAATCCAGCCATTCGACGACCGAACGCCGACAGGTCGGAGTCAAGTATACCGGTACGTCCCCAACAGTTCACAACAGTCGACTGCGCCACGGATTGCCACGCCTCTCGTGCCCATCCCATTGCTTCAACCAACGGCACTTCGTAGAGTTTGTCCTGCCGGCCCAACATCACAGCTTCGATTTGGTGCAAGGCGTTCTGCAATTGGCGCCGTTTGATTTTTGCCTTGAACGAGGCAATGATACCCGCGTCTTGAGGCTGCAGGTGAGCTGTTGTATTCTTCGGCAGCATTTTGACACGAACGTTCGATAGTTCCGTGCCGTCCTCGAGCTTGTGGCTGGGGGCGTTGTCGACAAGCATCAAGACTTTTCGATTTTCGGCGGCCATCCGTTCATTCAACGAACGAAGGTAAGCACAAAATATCTTACCGTTCATCCATGCCTTCTTACTTGCATGG